GCGCGCGCGCACACTTGCACGGTGCCTCCGCTCCTGCCCAGCCTCGCCGGGCCCCCGCGAGCGCCGAACCCCCTGGGGCCGGATGCCATGGGTAACAACTTCTCCAGTATCCCCTCTCTGCCCCGAGGAAACCCGAGCCGGCCGCCGCGGGGCCACCCCCAAAACCTCAAAGGTAAGGCTCCTCCGGGGCCGGGCGCAGCTGGAGGACTGGGGCGCAGGTGGAGGGGCAGGGAGAGATGATGAGTGGTTGGGGAGGCCGGGCAGGTGCCACCTGTTGTGCGTCTTTGGAGACAGGACGTGTGTCCCTCCCAGGCCGTGGAGGTGGGCAGGGGCGGGGGGCGGCCTGTGGTGACAGCGGAAACCCGGCAGGATGGCGCTGCGCGGGGTCTGCGCAGTTCTCCCTGCCAGTACAGGGAACGTCACTGGACTCCCCTCGGGCCATGGTGCTTGCCGAGCGTGCAGGCTTGAGGAAGGGCATTTGCTGGGTGGATAGGTCAGGGTGGCTGGATGCTCAGGCGGGCCAGCTGTGCTTCTCGAGGGAGGCATCATAGTCTCCGTTTTCACCTGCCCAGGGCTGGAGAGGTCACGCTGGAAGCACTAGTTGCATTTCCAATGGGAGGGTCTTAAAAATCCACTACTGATTGATAGCAGCCTGGAAGAAAAAGCCAGAACTGATGGCCTCTGGGGTCCTCTGCAGTTGTTGACTTTTTGCATCCACTGAATCAGCTTGGTTTCTGGTTCCCCCAAAGGCCAGATGTTCAGTTGGAATCACAGGAAGGAAGGGCCGGGAACCTTGAAACACAGGAACATTTACCAGGGCGGTCTTTGCCCTCTGAGTCCCCTACCTACCCAGCACTCCCAGGGAGACCCTAGGCCCGGTTCTTGGCCCTGCAGCTTTCAGTGCTGTCTCTGACCTTTGGGTCCTCCAAGGCCTTCAGCCCCCACTGATTCCCTTCAGGAAGCTTCCTTACCCTCAGAACTAGCCAGCACATGTTCTGGGCGTTCTGATGACTAAGAGTCCTCGGGCTTTCACAAAGAACAGCCCACTTCTTCAGCCCCCCAGGTTATGAGAAGGATAATAATAATGCCCTTTGACAAAAAGCGTTCACGTTTGCAAAGAACTTTCATGTGAGCAAAGAAACCTCTTTGGGGAGTCAGCAGCACCAATCAGACCCATTTTAGAGTTGAGGAGAACTGATGCTTATTTCAGATTCCCAAAGCAAGGGAGAGGCAGAGCTAGGCTGCAGACCTGTATCTTCTGACTTGGAATTCTGCCCTCTCTTTTGCTGGACAGTTAACCCTCAAGACTGAGGGAGAGGAGGAGAGACGGGACCACCGTCCTGCATTCTAACTCCAACCCTTTCAGAACTTCAGCTCTCACTTGGCTCAGGAAAATCAATGGGTTTGTTGTGTTTTTCTGGAAATTCATATGGTGGTACATGTCAAGACCTTTTAAAATACCATACTCATTGGCCTTGTGATTCCACCTAGAGGAACTGATCCTAAGGAAATGGATATGCAGGCAGGTACTTATTCACCAGGCTAAGATGTTCATGGCAGTGTTATTTATATTAGGAAAACAACCTAACAGTCCTGTGATCATGGTATATCCTCTTGGTGGAGTATTATGCAATCTTTAAAATAGTATTTTTGCTGAATATTTGATAACTTGGGAAAATCCTCACAGCAGCATGATAGTTGAAAATGCAGGATACAAAGTTGTATAGATTGTAAGATCCTAATTTTGTTAAAAACAAAACCAAAAATGATATGAATGCCAACAAAATCAACCATAGAAAGTTTGCAAAGGTTAACAATGGCTTCCTCTAGGTAGTGGGATCATATAAAAATTTTTATTTTCTTTTTAATATTTTGCTCATTCCCGAAATAAGCAAGTATTTTTATTTATTTATAATCAGAAATAAACTGTAAGTCTTAGCATGTATAAAGATTGCTTCAGCATTGGAAGCAGATTCCTAATGATGGAGGAAGCTGTGGACATCATCCAGTTCAGTGACAAGTGAGAAAAAGGAGGGAAAAGGACAGTGATTGGCCCATTTACTCAGTAGGTGAGCCAAGAGAAGGTGGCAAAGCCAGGCTAAGTCCTTCAAGGGCAGGAGTTAGCTGGGGGCCAATGAGCTGACTTGGTGCTTTAACGCTCACAACGTGCCCTCCAAAGGTCCTGCTCCATCCTTGACCCTACAGAAGCCCAGAGAAGGTCTTGATAATTGCACCGCTTTTTACCTAAAGTTTGGGATTGTGGGAATGGGAGGATTTTGTGGCTGGGGTCTTTGGCAAGGGAGGGAGTGGGCAGGAGAGGGTCTGAGGCCCTCTCACCTCCCAGATACCACCCTAGCTTACTCCTCTGCCTGACTCTCCACTTATCTGGCTTGGGAAACCCCCCTTCTGCTGCCTCCCTGGTTTGCAGGGATTGGTTTTTCTATGGGAGCAAATGGTGGAGAAATTCTTTCCCAGCAGTCTCCCTCTCCCTGCCCATCTCCCTTCAGGCTCAACTTACTAGAAGTCACTCTCCCCTGCTCCTACCACACACCTGCTGGAGGTGGTCATGAGAATTTCGATTCTGCTCTTCTAGCCTGAGATGAAGGATTAGAGCACGCCCTCCATCCTTCATCCAGGGCCTACTGACCCTCCTTCTCAGCTGACTTCCCTCCACCCTAACAGAGCCATCAGCTCCATTCTGTGGTGGTTTAGTGTTCACTCCAAATTCTCTTCTAACTGTATCAGCATTGGCCTAGGCATCTTCTGTGTTATCTCAGTGGTCATCCAGAATTCCATTCCGCTTTTATTGGTGTTGGCCTTGAATATCGATAGTGATTCTAAGACTGTACGCCCAGAGTTCTGTTGGGGTTCTTTTTCATTCACCCAGAATTCAGCTCTAACTCTTAGCAGTGTCCATCCAGAAATTTGCTGGGGGCAGGGAACTCTTGATTTCTCTCTCTCCTATAATCATAATCTCTTTTGATTTCTCACCATTTTAATGTAAACAGCTGCAAGGGGCCTGGTGTAACAGGGAGCCTGGGACTCACTGGAGATCTAAGATTGGCCTGGCTGTCAGGCTGACATGAAGCAAGGCTTGTCTGTCGCCCATTACCTGTTGGGTGGTAGACTTTGGTCTTCTTCCTGGAGACACACTGATCTCATTTCATGGCTGGTTATTCCCACTGGGGACTGAGTAAGTGCTGATCTAGGAGGGTCCAGGGGAGAGGCCTAAGGTATAGCTCTGGACTCAGGACCAACAGAGAGTTCTGAGGAACTGCTCTGTGCCTGGCTCAGAGGTGAGGGCTCCTGACATCCCTGTGCATTCACAGGCTGAAGATCTACTTGAAACTGCAAGGCTGAGGGAGGGAATGTGATCAAGCCCTGGGGGTGGACTGTTGAAATGCCAGGTGTGTGTGGGCAGAGGTCAGAAATGGGAGATCAGAGAAGGATTTGAGCTGGACATGGAGGGAGCTGCAGACATTGGGTAGATGGCGCATGGGAGGGGTGCAGTGGGATCCTAGGGTGTGGGGAGGAGTGTGGGGAAAGGGGCATAAAGCAAAGGCTTGAACGTGGGAACGGGTAAGTGTGTGTGTATATTCTCAGTGACGGGCGTAGTGTGACTGGGCAGGGGGTTCATGCTTCATGGAGACAAATACAGAGAATAAAGATCTTCCTCCTTCCCCAGCTCTTTCCGAGTACCTGTCTGCTTGGTGCTAAGTGTCGGGGGAACAGTAACTAGAAGACCTTTAGGGAGGGCTCCTCAGCCCCAGTGGTCATCCATAAATGGGGACTGGATGGGTCACCTCCCACCTTTTCCTTTTATTGTGGTAAAATTCACATAACATAAAATTCACCCTTTTAACATTTTATTTTATTTTTTTACCATTTTACCATTTTAAAGTGTACAGTTCAATGGCATTTAATACATTCACAATGTTGAAGCAACAACCACCTCTATCTAGTTCCAGAATATTTTTATCCCCCCAAAAGAAAAGCCTGTACCCAATAAACAGTCAGCCCTCCTTACCCCCTCCCCTGTATCCCTGGCAACTGCTTTCTGTCTCTATGGATTTGCCAATTCTGGACATTTCAAATAAATGGAATCATACTATATTTGTCCTTTTGCGTCTGGCTTCTTTCACTTAGCATAATGTTTTCAGAGTTCATCTATGTTGAAACATGCATCTTTCCTTTTTGGCTGAATACCGTTCCATTGTTTCTGATGCCTCGTTTTGTTTATCCACTTGTCAGTTGATAGATATTGGAGTTGGTTCCACCTTTTGGTTTTTGTGGATTTTGCTGTTGCGGAGACCTGTGGATAAGTTTTTGTTTGAACACGTGTTTTCAGTTCTTTAGGGTATATACCTAGGAGTGAACCTTCCATGTCCTCAACGCTGGTGTTTCTTGAATTGGACATTTCACAAGGCTACTGTTTGTAACAGCCGCAGGGAGATTGTACCTCTCCAGCTTGGGCTGGGTGTGACTGCGGCAAGACACCTGTTGTTTCCAGAGTCTCTTTTCCTGCTGGCTGAAGCTCCTGGCCAGCAGAGGGGCCTCTAAGGTCGGCTAGCCAAGGTGCCTTGATTCTACCAGGTGGGCCAGAGTGAGTCACATGAACTTGTCTGCAGTCCCTGAACTTCTTCACTGCTCTCTGAGGGTGGGAGTCGGGGTACCTCCTCTCCGGATAAGGTCCTCGCGCTTTCCCAGCCTTCACCTTCTCACTGCTACTTCCCTGATCTGTGTCTTCAGCACAGATATTGCGAGAGCTGGCCTTTCTGCCTTCAGTTCCTCCTTTGATGCTGCCAGGCTGATCTGCCCTAAGTACTCCTTTTATCATGCCCCTCTTCTAGCCACAGCCTTCAAGATTATGACCGACATTGCTATAATAAGATAGTCAAGGCCTCCGTTCCTTGGCCAACCCACAGATATTTCCACAGCCCTTGTTTGGGCTCCTTCCTTGGTTGTCATGGCGCTTACAGGTTAGGTGAGCTCATTCAGCTTTCCACCCCCAGCGATGCAGCAGACAGACCTGAGAGAGGGGGCTGGAGGCCTCCTCTGCTACCCCAAACTTCAGAGAGGCTGGGCTGAGACAGCCCCCATGCCCTTGTCCTGACCTTTGAACCCTGAATTGTTAATCATACCAATAATATTTATAGCTACTGTGTATTGGGC